AGACGGGACATCTTGAAAACTCCACTATGATGTCGCAAAACTAATGCAAAAATATGCGACCATCTCCGATATTACCGTTAAGGCATTTGCGCGGACAAATAACCGTCGAACAACAAAATTGTGGTCTGCATACTCCCAATCAATTCATCTCTCTTCACATTCGCAGTCCCTTGGAGTGTGCACTCAATCACGACACCGGTAGAAAACTGAAGAACCGTACTTGTTTTCAGGGCGCTTCTGGGTGGTTCTTTGTGCACCCTAACACGTCCGGTGGTGTGGGAATAAAAAGCAGGAAGAATGCTTTCCGAATTTCAAAGATATCTCTTCCGGCCGAAACATTTAGGACAGCTAGTCAATTAAAAGATGCGAAGGCTACCTGACAGTCGAGGAAAACCACGATTGTTAGTTGGTGGTATAAGAGGCGCTGCTCAAGCGCTTGACGCGAAAATATGATCAATGCATCCTCTGCCTGGTCGAAATCCTGCTTGGTGCTTTCGGAATTGCGTCTCACATGCCGAAGTTGGGCGTCACACTATTAGGGACGCCGGTAGTCTTGTTGCGAGTGAAGCTGATAGCCTAATATTATTCACCCGTGTGTGTGGTAATCGTTGCCCAGTTGTGCATTTTAACGGGATGTCAGTGGTGACAAACATTTGTTAACAGACGTTCATCTACACCACATTGCATTGAAAAACCATCTCCACCAAATTCGGACCTGAGAAGAACGTTCACGGTTACAACTGGGATGCGCTCGAAGTGTCACTGAGTTTCCAATAAAATCTATTTACGAAGTAGAGTGGTACCGCAAAAGGTTCGAGAGGTAAATGGTTATCAACTTGCGACTCAACATGTGGTAGGTGGAGAAGTTATTCCACGTGCAGTGACAAGTGAAACTGACTATGTACGGCAATTCGGCACAAACCCTTAAATATCGTCGCTCTACTCAGAGTAAAACAACAAGTCTCCAAAGAGTTGTCGGCAATCTTATTAGTGATGCTATGCCAAGGAAATCTGTGTATTCTCATTACTAGACACGTTCAAGTAGTGGCAGCAACGTGGAATAAAAATTCACCGCTCTGAATTATTGCATTCTTATCATTTTTTCTTCATCTATGGAAATGTGTTAACCCGGTTGGTGGACTCTCACATGATTGAAGAATTATCCCGCAAAAGTCTCGATTTGACTTAACCGATAAATTAGCCTTAGGATGATTAGTAAAATAATTCCCACCAACGGTTGAATGTAGTAAACCTGGAGGATAGGACCACTACACACGACAACGTAGTCATCAAATTCCAGGGATACCATTATTAAGGTTGCTTCGTGGGGATGGGTTTTCCTAGTAAAGTAAGTTTTATCGATTCTTCTTCCAGTTCGGCGGCTTCTTAGTACTGACCTAGATCAGGAGTACTGAAGACATTACACACGTCAACACTCATATGCAGGATGAAAAACCTGCAGTGTATGCTTCAGGAGAGACTGACAACTCAATCTTCGCTATATGAAAGTCGCTCAAAACGCCTCACAAAAAAAGCGCATAGTTCCGCTATTCCAGAACGTAAATCGTGCAATACGGTCTCACTGGGAAAGACCATTTTCGGAGGGATATATAGAACCTTGTTTCCTCGACGTTGTATCGTGATACCGCCTATCGGTTATGCCGAAATTGGGCTTGCCAGACTACGCGATAAGTAGAAGACAGAAGGTCAAGAACACGGCTGTATTGTCAGGTCAGGCCAAAAATACAGAGCTAGTGCGTAAATTTATAGGATGGCTGAATGGTCAAATATGGTCACTTGCTTTGTTCGCTCTTGACGTGACCAATTTCACACCCGATCCGCTGATCGCATGCTGCTAAGCCATGTTTGGTACGCTGCTCCCACGCACCTGCTATCCGTAACGTGTGGTGACAGATGGTGATCGTTCTGTACATGTAATTTTTGATGTCTGGCCGCGTCTTGACACTTCTCCCTGCTGGAGACATATCGCAGATTCTCCATGTGGAGTTCACCAGCAACCGTTTTGCTGGAATTATTCGTCACCCAGTGCTTCTTTGCAACGAAGATGGGTTGACGTCAATGTTTGATGCCGTCGACAGTGTCTTGCGAACACAAATCACTTAACAGAGTTGAGGTGAACTGCGTACAATTGTCCGTTACTACCGTGTGGTAACCCGGAACAACTGAATAGTTTCTACAATCCAGCAGTGGTAGTTTCGTTAGTGCTTTGCGCATTCAAAGGACTTCTGGCCACTTCGTGAAGGCGTCTACGATTATCAGGTAATACAGACCACCAAATAAACCTGCAAAGTTCATGTGTAGCCGTTGCCATGGTGCCTCAGGCATGGGTCAATCTTGTTGTTCACATCGTGGCGGATTCTTTGCAAATTGGATGCATTGAGGACAACTGTGACAGTACTGCCCCAAATCCCATGTCAGGTCAATAAATGTAGCTTCTGGCCAATGATTTAATTCGGCTAACTCCTGGGTGGCCGTTGTGGAACTGTTTGATTACTCTTTGTCGGGAAACCCTTGGTATAATCACTCTCTCAACAAAAATCAGGCGGCTTCCATAAATGAAGATCATTCTACCTCAAGCACATAGAGCCAACCATGAACGAGTCTGATAGGCATCCATGCATGCATAAATCGTCAATACTGTCCGTGATTTAACAAAACCCCACCGTTTTTTGTAATAATAAAATGAGATTGGCGTTCAGAGACGTTAGCCTTTTCGAACAATTTCTGGGAACGCGGCAGACGTGCGGATAAGTTACGAATTCATTTTCGGTCCCTTAGGTCCCCATCAACCTGCCTAGTATGTTAAACGAACCTACAAAAGATATCGTAACATTAGTATAGAAGTTATAATAATCAACTATTCCCGAGACGAAGCCTCCTTTGGACCGTCCAGTTCATCATTCATCGGTATCCAGATTTTGTGCCGCTGTACGGTATCCCTTCCTACGATGGAGGCTTGTCTTATCTGAATCTACCAGTTGCTTTCGTAATCCAGAAAATCAACCTCCTACTCGTTTATCTCTATCGGAAAGTCAAAGTGGGTGAAGCAGTATCGATTGCGAGCCCTGTTGGTTCACACGTTGCATCATCTAAAGAAGCACCACGTGGTAACTTTTGACCCGCTACCGCTACAAACCAGACCGAAACACACGGTGAGTCGCTTTTCAGGACGAATCAGCTTGTACTTTGGGAGGTGAAATTCTCTAATTCAAGCCATATAGACTTTATACTTCTCGAATCCTCCAAAAGCATCGCGGAGAGTCTGAAGCGACAAGCAGTGGAAATTCCTAACATTCCGTCCCATTTGCTATGCGCGGCGATCACCAACACAAGTGACTGACCGCAAGATGATTAATGAATAGTTGCACCATGATCATTCGGAATCAAGCTTCGTCGATTGCAAGGTATCTTCTAGCAAAGTCCATTTCGTTGACCTAGTGTGCGATTCACAGCTTTGGGACCATATTCACGTAAATCAGNCGATTCACAGCTTTGGGACCATATTCATCGTAAATCAGACGATAGGATGAAAAAAATTCGCTCGGTTTCTACACGACGAAATCAACCCGATTCACATAATTATGGCGAGCATGCACCAAAAAAACTCCACTATTAAGTTAATCAAACGGTATATATCAGACAGGGTGCGTTAGACAAAAGCTCAAGTCAGATTGGTATATTGGTTTATCGATCGAAGCGGACGATACTCGCGCCAGAGAGCTATTGGTTCTTGGTCTGTTCGCTGAGCCTGACGGTGGCAAAAATCTCACCTTCAATCATTGCGTACCGACCAACAACCAGGTAGCGCCAACCATTGGTTCTAGCAAGCAATCTATGGTATATCTGTGGAAAATTGTCGATCGACATACAACGGAAGCAACGAGTCGAAGCAATCAATCGAGTAAAAGATTGTCGCAATGAAGTGGTTACCCGTTCCTTTTTCGTGTCTCCAAACCATAATATCCACGTGGTGGATAAATAGCTCCGGTAAGCCGGAGATTGACGAAGTCATAGCAGATCAAAAACTTTCCCTGGAAAGCTTGGGTAATGCTTGCGAGCAAACGGTGATGACCATCAACTAAACGTGACACAGGATGGAGATGCTTGTGACAATGAGTAACACGCCCTGAGCGAATAAGTATAATGGTTGAATGGAGTCAGCAAACATGAGGGATACCAACCACACAAAAACGCCACATTGTTAATCCCAAGCTAACCAAACGAAGAAAGCTCCTTTACATTTCGACCCAACTTTTCTCATTTAGAAAACGTGGAACGCGTTCTCGCCTTGCAACGTGATACAAATACAAGCCAGTTTAACTGGTTTGATTATCTGAAATGTTTGTTCTATTCAACTTTCAAAAACTAGGATTGTATAATAAAATAGTGCCCCGATCCCCCTACTACGACACTCCGAGCATACAAACCATACCGGATCTGGATTCGAACCAGTTACATCTCGAAAACAGATCATAAATACCAGTTTCGAAATAGTCCTACAGCACTAAGTCTTAAAATACAGTTGTTAAAATGGACTGGATAGTTGAAATGGAGCGTCCCATCATCTGAAAGTAATTGATAATAATAATACCCTTTAGTTGTAGCATCCTTCCAGTGCATAACTCTCATGCCACAATAAGGAAGCGAGAGGGCTGATATACTGCCAGGTTACTCAAGTCTAGACAGGAGCAGTCAATATGTCCATTATTGGGCTTGAACCACAGACTTTCCAGCCAGTGAGTTCACGTCTCAATCACTGGGCTGTCTCGAGATCTAAATGCTGCCCATCTGAAAGGAACGGAATAGCAACCATCCGTGTTTAAGAAGCGCAATGATTCGTGGGTGGAAATCCTCGTGTGTAAACCCTCGTGTGAGTAAACCCTGAGAGAATGAACACCACTCGCCGATGGTACCCCATCACTCGGACTCCATCACTCGATTGACCACCTCCTCCCCAAAGTTGCAAAAACCAGAAAAGGTAGCACATTAGTTCTTATATACATATATAATTTCCGTTAAGAGCTTATCTTCAAGTCGTTACTCGGCGACGCTCGTAAGCTTTCGTACTCTTCGTCAGGCCTAGGGTACGTCGAGCGCGTGGACATTTGTTCTTGCGCTTTTCCAACTCTCGTAAGAGATCAGTTTCGGGCTGGAAGGAAGACAAACGCAGGAAACAAAAATATCGTCAATCAACGAAAACAACATAAGAATGACAGGTCTCCGTCAATGGCCACTTCGAGAACGCTGCGTTACATTAAGTAGGGTGGGTATTTTGGTGAAAAACGAATGTCGCTGCCTGGATACGGAAAACCCAGTCGTTTATTTGGTATACACGCTGTAGGCTTCGGCAACCAGAAGTGAGTACCCCTCTACGGTGACTACCCTGTAGGGTAACCTCATATGATCCGTATTCAAGAGTCTAATTTTATAACTTACACGGGTCGAATGCAAGTACTATGTTTCTAACATCGAGAGCTTGTTTCAAGCAACCCCCTTAAGACAGATTTAGTATTTTTCATCACTGAAGCGCCTGCATGCTGCAGCAACAACTTGGTGACTGAGAGGACACTGCGGAAGTTCCGCTGCACGTTGTAAAATCTCTAAGGAAATGTGTTGTATGAAACCTACTGAAATATACTGCAAACTGCTATTGGGATGTTCACATCATCTGATGTGCTACGGATGCATGATATGGAGCCAAAGTGAAATAAAAAATAACATTCCAGGTTCAGTCATCCAACGAATTACTAAACCTCGAGTGGGAGATGAGTTAACACAATCCAATCACGCTATCGATCGGAATTAGTAGCAAATGCAAACAACAACTAGAATGCTTAATGAATGTTGTTCTAACGAGCACGTCGTCCAACACTACAAGTGAGATCAGTGAGAATCATACTCAACTGCTCCTCCAAGAATGGTCTTGACCAGGATAGTGATGCGACTCTTTGGTGATTGGTGCCATTGGTTGGCTTGATAAGCTAGGCAGCCACATTATGATCGAGTTGACTAGGCCAGTGATTCAGTTGCTATTCCGACTTGGGGCAGCAACTTTTTTCAGTTCAATAGACGACTAAAAGGCGGATTGTTCAATTCGATCCGTTTCCGCAAGCACAGCTGCAGCAATACAACGGGTATTTCTCACTTTGTCCCGAAAGCAGTATAGCGATAATGAGACGGGCTTCGAAACCAAAACGATCCTTGACTTACAACGACTTTCCTTAGGCAGGAGACTAGTTCGTTGGGCATTTGGAACGGAATATCCCAGTCCACAAGCTGGTCACGTTTCCGGGTAGCTTTCTTCGCAGCAAGTCTAGCTTTTCGTGCGGAACAACCTTGGCTTTCTCTCCGTAGCTCTTTCAACAACTTTGGAATGCTGTAAAATATGGTGAGTACCAGCAATCGTGACAAACTTTTCTAACTCTACAGCCATGTTGACCTTTTTGCGCTTCCGACTTCTACGGCGCAATACAACCTCTTCCGTTTCTTTTGGCTGTACGATTCTTACGCCATCATCATCATTGGGAGCGGGAGTTTCCGTAGTTAGAGAATGGAAAAAGGTTCGGGCCTCTTCCATCTGATCGGTGGGATGCTGCAAAACATGTGAGGTAAGAAGAGATACAGTGAAATTACCCTTGCGTTTTCCGTGAAGCCTCGTAAGAACCGTTCGGTTTTCTGTTGGCGTTTGTGCTTTTTACACTCTTCTGCTCCCAGTGTGGATAATAACGCAAAGTGATCAACGACACTAGGATTGTATGACTGGCCTGCAGCCGGAAGAGACAAATTCGGTTGGCTTCGTTTCTGCAAACGACCAATAGCCGATGAGACGGTGTGTCAGTAGAAACCTACATGCTGCTTTGATTGAAGAACTTCTGTGAAAGGAACATAGTTACGGATTTATGTGTATAACACCTACCATCCTGCCACAAATCAGTAGCAGTACCAGATCGAGTCTTGGACTGGTAGCGTTTCATGCGCACACGGCCATCAGGTGCAGTAGAAATATCTGAAAACAATTTTGCTGCTTCTTTGTCCCCCCTAATGATAGGTTCTACAGGATTAGCGGATTAGTACCAAAATGCCAACATACTTTTGTGTCTTTTTATCTGTCCTAAAACAAAACCGTCATGAAGTCTTTCCAATAGCAACGACTAAATTCGAACAAAATGGGACTTACATCGTTTCTCGCTTCTTGGCCGCGTCAAGCTTGTCCTCTAACCCTGCACAACAATGTCGCCACTGCTTTTTCTTGTTTTTACCCAAATTTTTCATCGCTGAAGCTGTGAAGGCGGAAAAAACAGTAACGCAACTGGTGATGATGCAGGCACCTAATGTAGGTTAAAAAAGAGAGGAACAGGGAAATTCTATCGCAGGTTCTCGCAAGCAGTGACGCTAGAGGCCAGAACTATGTCAAAACTGGTCAGGATGGATGAGACAAAACCACATTCAGGTACAAGTTTTAGTAGGATTATTAGTTGAGGCCTCCACGGTCAGCGTGGGCAACAAGTGATAACATACCACATATCGGGCGTTCGGGAGGACGGGTGAGGCGGAGTTAGTTATGTGACGCGTATAACAGGAACTCTGGTTCAACCTCACCTGAGGATTTATATTTGAGAAAGGAGAAAACATGCAGGAGTTCGGAAGGACCATGCAATTCATTATAGCCATACAACCACGATAAATGGAGTTCTTAACAAAGAGCTGAAAATCATTGTTCTAATTTTCAGAAAGGAGCAGAAGGCGCGGGCACAACTAGAAAAGCTTATCAGGGTTATCCAGTCCTTCGGTGTGTAACTGGCGCCCACAAAATGTAAGTCGTGTTGCGGGGCGCCCATACTTCAAACATGCCTCTAAGAACCCAAAAAGTGATACGGGGGGTTGTGGTACGCTTATGCCAACCTCAGGAAAATTGTCCATTTGTAAAACCCCCTCTTCTCCCTTGACGGAGAAGCCGATGTCTCGCCTACGCCACAGGTGACGCAGGTTCACAAAAGCTGCTCTGGCCTTCCCAATCCGGATGGAAATATCATTTTCGCTAGACCAATGACACTGGTACAGCTGTCCAGGCAAACAAACTTGTCTCCTATCTCAATCGGCTCATCCGAAAGCACGAGGCTAGTGTTCGAGCCTATCCACTATTGCAGGTGTGAAGCGCATGCCATACCGTGAGGCAGAATAATTTGGATTCTTTGATATTATTGCATTACCACGGCTTCAGATCCAAAAGCAGCTATTTCATCTGCATACTCGATATCTGTGAGCGGATGCCCCTGTAGGACTTCGACCCCACAGGCATTAGAGGCTGATAGTGAGTCTTCCATGATGGTATCAATGACTAAGTCGAAGAGGAAAGGTGAAATAGGACAGCCCTGTCGGATACCACTGGATGTGGTGAACTCAGGAGAGAGCTTCCCGTAGACCTTTACACGGCCGCGGGATTTGGCGTACAGCGCCTTAATGAGGGTCAAGAATTTATGGGGGACACCGTTACTCCACGGACACTGCTATAGTGCTTGGCGGTCCACAGAGTCAAAGGCAGCTTTCAGATCAAGAAGCCCAATCATTGTTGGTTGCTGGAAGCAGTGTCACTGTTTCAGAATCTGTCGAAGGATGAAGATGCAATCGATGCAACCTCTTGCAGGACGGAACCCAGCTTGGTTTTCACGGATCTGCCTCTCCCTGTGTTCAGTCAACCTTCGAAGGATAAGGCCAGAGAGCACCTTCGATGCCACAAAAAAATCGTTCAGCTGTAGCATCCTTTCGGTGCCCAACTGCCATGCCACCAAAAGGTTGCAAGAGGGCTGGTTGCCCAGGTTGCCCAAGCCTAGACAGGGTTCGGTGCCACAGCTAACAGGCTGATACCACGGTGGTTTTCACATAGCATCTGCGTACCCTTTTGAAGATAGGGATAACTGTCACCATACCCCATTCTGCAGGCACTTTCTCTTCGTCCCATATAGCACCAACAAGATTTGTCAGACGGGTCACCAGGGATTTTCCGCCTTCTTCCAAGAGAGCTGGATACAGACCGTCCGGTCCTGGTGCCTTCTCACGTTTCGGTACGGCTATTTCGAAGGGCGATCAAGGTTTACATCCCATTCGCTCGTATGCATTATCTCCACCAGCTGTGTTGCAGGAGGCCAGCTGAGCTGCTCTTCGAAGTGTTCGGCCCACCTCTCCAGTCGATGTTTCTCCACTTATCGATTCGCAGACCGTTGCTTTCCTAGGGCCGATCGATCGTATCAGTTGATATAGGGCATGGCTGTTTCCCGTAGCAAAAGCCATCTCCATCTCCCGAGCTGTCGATGTCCATGTTATATATTTGCTCTGTTTTTCAAACGTTTCATCATTTGTTGCTAAATCACTTTCTTCCATTTTCAGCTCTCAGTGTCAAAGTTTTGGATGAATAAAGCCTAGCTTTCGGGCCCTCAGTCTTTTCTATTGTCATTCTGATTGTCGTTGCACTCCGACCCTCGTCGTACA